ACAATGATTGAGCGAAATAATGTCTTAAATAATGAAAAATATTTCTCTGACTACTACATGTCAGATGAGGAATAAGAAATCAAACACCGTTATCTTCCATATATGTTTGTATGTATGTTGTGTCATATGTTCGTTACTAGAGTGTAAGACAATGTTATTATTAATCTAACGTACGGATGTATTTCAAGTATTTGTTTTATGAACCTGAACTTCATGACTTTCTTTATTGAATTGCAATGAGTTAATGAATGTTCTGGATTAATAAATGGATTAATGCATGTTCAATTATGTGAATACTTAAAACACATAAAACATAACAGGTAGGTCGGTGAAAAGCTTCCCGTAACTGGGCCTCGTCAAATAGGGATCCTCAACGTAAAGAATTTCAATCTCCATCAGGAAAGAAGAAAGAGTCACCTTCCAATTCTAACGGAGCAAGAAGGATTGTATAATGATCTACGTAACTTTGGGGCACCGGTACCTCATCGTCGTTCATTGACCATGGCTAGACGAAATGTGAGTGACTATGAAATAGCAGTTACCAGAATTAAGAAGGAGAACAACAGAATGTTGATGCGAAGATGTCGACATTTCATGCTTCAGCTAGCCACCGAAATGGCAGAAGCAAGCAACCGAGATTTGACAATGACTGAACGAAATAATGTCTTAAATAATGAAAAATATTTCTCTGACTACTACATGTCAGATGAGGAATAAGAAATCAAACACCGTTATCTTTCATATATTTTTGTATGTATGTTGTGTCATATGTTCGTTACTAGAGTGTAAGACAATGTTGTTGTTAATCTAACGTACGGATGTATTTCAAGTATTTGTTTTATGAACCTGAACTTCATGACTTTCTTTATTGAATTGCAATGAGTTAATGAATGTTCTGGATTAATAAATGGATTAATGTATGTTCAATTATGTGAATACTTAAAACACATAAAACATAACAGGTAGCTCGGTCAAAAGCTTCCCTTAACTGGGGCTGGTGAAATAGGGATTAATTAACATAGAATTTCAATCTCCATTAGGAAAGAAGAAAGAGTCACCTTCCAATTCCTAAAAGTTCAGTACAAATGATGACTCCGGTAATGAATGAGGGGTTGACAAAAAACTAAACTCAGTGAAACGAACTACCGCCTTCAATAACACATAAAACATAACAGGTAGGTCGGTGAAAAGCTTCCCGTAACTGGGCCTCGTCAAATAGGGATCCTCAACGTAAAGAATTTTAATCTCCATCAGGAAAGAAGAAAGAGTCGCATTCCAATTCTTGGAAGTCCAGTAAAAATGATGACTCTGGTAAGAAATGGGGGGTTGACA